ATATATAAATATTGAGTTTTTTGGGGGAATTTAATGTCTCTACTGTACTACAATTGAGCCATTAATCTTGTAGCTTCATCAACATTAACTGGTCCATTTTCATGGTGCTGCTGGTTATTCAGCTCTTTCTCCAGATGTTCAAGAGCAAGCCTTTTTGAGAAGTGTGCAAGTTCTGAGTGTTTGCAAAAGCATTCTGCAAACTTTTTCATTATTCACAGTGTTTATCTTTTTAGGATTAGTAGTGAATGGTTTTGCTTATTTTTTTCAATTTAGGTTTTTTGGCTAGCTATGTGAAGTACATTTCTGGATGTCTACCCTCTTAATTTGTTCTTGGCCATTGTTGAAAAGTTTCATCAACCTTTCACCAGAACTTTGATATCTGAGTGCTGTTTCTGTTTCTGTTTTTTGAGACAGGGTCTCACTATATAGTTCAGGCTGGCCTTGAACGCTTAATGATCCTCCTGCCTCCTGAGTGCTGGGATTATAGGTTATGTGGTACTATGCCCAGCTTTGTGCTTGATATTCTTATATTCAAGAATGTATCCCATTGTCTTCTCGGCAGTTCATATATGCTCTGTATGATTAGATTTGGTATTACTATTGTAGGAGGTTATATAAATCATATGACTTATATAAATCATTAGAACAGTTCTTTGAGGTTGAAGATTTGGATGTTTACATTAAGAGAGGAAAAAACCAACCCAGACATTGATGATTCTAGCTCCACCACCAATACCTTGTATAATTGGCTGGCAAAGTTGTATTCCTAGAACTTTTAGGACATCATTCTAAGTAATTCTGTACTCTGTAAATTAATCTACGTATCAGTAAAGTTAAGCTCTACTACTGAGTTAGGTGGAGTGGCATAGGGAAGGAGCTTGGGGAAATAACATTTGATCACCACCCCCATACACCACCCTCAGTTCACACTGAGCTACGTTCCAGCTCCTTTATTTTTCATTTTGAGACAGGACCTTGCTAAATTGTCCAAGTTGTGCTTGAACTTGATCCTCCTACCTCAGCCTCTCAGAGTGCTAGGATTATAGGCAGGTGTACATGCTGGGCAACACCTTACATTGACATAGGAAGTGATTCTGTGGCAGGAAAACATACCAACACATTGTCAGGTCTGTTAATACCTGTAATTATTTGTAAACTGAATAGCATCAAGAGTTTAAGAGTTGTGTTGTCTGTCTTGTCAAGAGAATAGAACAATATGGAAAAGAATTAAAATGATAGGCAAAATAACCTGCAAGTTGTGGGTAATTTGAAGGATTCCTGTGGCATCTTCAATAATTGTACACTCTTTGAATGACAACTCTGAATAAAAACTCTTATTTTTGATAGACTTCTTGGGAGACTGTAGGGGGGAAAAAAAAGAATTTTGGAAAAGAAAGTTCAGAAAACAAAGAGAATAGAGAGAAGAGAAGCGAGAGAGAAACAAACCGTGGACGTGGAAACAACCGGAAAGGAAGAGGAAGCAATCGTGGCAGAGAATGTAAGTATAGACTTTTCTCCTCAGCTTTTTCATACATTCTGAAAAGCTGAAAGAGCAGTCTAAAGAAAACTCTTAGAATCACTTTCTCAATGTAAAATTTATCTAATAGTTCAGACTAGTAATGAGCTGCACCTGAATAGTTCCTTACATCCTGTGATACAGTTTATCAGTACTGACTTGGACTATTGATAATTATACCATGTGCCTTTAGACTACCTTCTTGTATGAATCAAGTGAATTTTCTAATTTTAAAGACATGTTCTAGGAAAGTCAATTTGCTAATAGAAAAGCTGTGTTTTTCTCCATTTACGTATATTTATGGTATAGGCAAGGACTAGGTTGATAGGAAACTTGTTGCATGGGCAGGATTTTCTCAGTGCTTTTAGTTAGAGCCAGGTTTGGGCACTATTTACATGAAACAGTCCTAGAGACTTTTGCTTTCTCATTTATACTATTGATAATTCATTTAGTATCTCCTATGTAGTGAATACTCTGACAGGCACATAGAAATGAATGAAAGAGAAGCTGAGGATGGTGGTATATGCCAGTAGCCCTAGGACTTGTGAAGCTGAGGCCCAAGAATCAGGAGCTTAAGGGCAGCCTAGGCTACGTAATTGAGACCCTGTCTCAAAAAAATAGAAAGAGACAAAGTGAGTAGAACAGATAGAAAACTACTTGCCCCTCCTAGACTTTATCTTTAATGAAGGTACAGTGAGGTATAACAATAAAATTGTGAAATAATTTTTTAAAAAATTTAAATTGAATTTATTGGTACATTCTAGGTAGGCGGTACAGTTACATTCATTACTGGGATCTTGTACCTTTACATGATAGGTCTTGGTTCTCATTTTTTCCTCTTGTCCCCACAAAAATGTGAAATAATTTTATAAAACATTTTTGGTGGTACTAGGAATTAAACTAGTGCCTCACTCATGCAAAGCTTGTGCTTTGCCACTTGAATTATACCTTCAACTTTTATATTTTAACAGTATTATCTAGAAAGAAGCAAAGGCAGAAAGAAATGAGGATTATAGGATGGGGTGTGGCAAAGTTAAATATATTGCAAGGAAGGCCTCACTGAGAATCATGGGAGTTAAGTCCTAAGAGAGGTAAGGGGAGCAAGTGATTTCATTATCTTTCATCAAATATCTGGATATAAAGTCATTAATACCAATATAGACGAGGCAAAGAAGACATGATATGTTGGTATCTGCTAGATAGCATGCTAGAAGAACCTATCTCTAACAGTTTAATTTTTCCAAGGACACAGTTTTACCTTGGTATGTTATTTTGCTATTCAGTGCCCCTACAGGGTTCAAATTTAAATAATGAGCAAGTTCTGTAGTTGCATAATAAAACTAGTTTCTCTTTTTAAGCAAACTTACTTTAGAGCAAGTCCCTACAGAAGCAAGAAAAATTGCTGCATTTTCTCTTCAGAATTTACAGTGGTGAATTGTTTTGTTTTGTGTTGTTTGGTTTTCATATCAAAACATTTGTTGGTACATTTTAGGCATATATAATGATAACATTCATCATAGGGAATTTGTACCAGTATATATCATGATATATCTTGCTTCTTTTTTTCTCCATTTCCCCCCTTATACACAAAAGTTTTGTTTCCTTTTTTCCTTCTCCCTTCTTTCCTTTCTCTATCCCCTCTCCCTTGTTCTCCTTCCCATTTGAAGGTGATTTCACATTTTAGTTCTTATTTCCACTTCTGGTTTCTCACATCAGTGAAACAATGATATTCAAATATGTGTCGGTTTATTTCACTTGATCTCAAGTGAATCTATTTGAATTTATTTCACTTGATCTCAAGATGCATCTATTTAGGTAAAAATGTCTCAAGTTCATCCTTCTTTATGGCAAACTATTCCACTGTGTTAAAAAAAAAACACCTCACATTTTCTTTATCCATTCATTGGTCAGTGGGAATTTGGGCTGTTTCTAAGATTTAGCTGTTACAAACTGTGCTGCTATAAACATGAGTGTACACATATGTCACTGTGGTATGATGTTTTTAATTCTTTCAGGAAGATACCAAGAAATGGAATAGCTGGGTCAAATGGAACCTCTAGTTTTAGTTCTTTGAGGAATCTTCACACTGATTTCAACAGTGGTTGGCACCTATCTACACTCCCACCAACAGTGGAGAGAGATTTCTTTTTCCCCCACAGCCTGTCCAGCATTTATTGTTTGATTTTTTGATAACAGCCATTCTTTGTGGTGTGAGATGGAATCTCAGAGTTATTTTAATTTGCATCTCTTGAAGGACCAGTGATGTTGAACATCTTTTCATTTATTTATTTGTCATTTCTACTTCATCTAAGAAGTGATTATTCATTTCAGATGCCCATTTTTTAATTAGGTCTTTAAGTTTTGCGGGGCGGGAGTATTTTTTTTGAGTCCTTTGAGGAACAACTGGCAAAAGTTTTTCCCAGTGTGGGTTGTCTTTTTGTTCTGTTGGTGGTTTCTCTTGATGTGCAAAAGCTTCTTTTAATAAGATGAGATCTCAGTTGTTGATTCTTTGTGATAGTGACTGTGTAACTGAGGTTTTGTTCATAAAGTCTTGGCATCTACCAAAGTCTTTGAGAGGTCTACCTAGTCTTATCTTCCAGCAGATTAAGTGTTTCTGTTTTAATCTTTAGACTTTTGATCTGTTTTGATATAAGTTTATTGCATGGTGAAAGATATGGGTCTAGTTTTAATCTTTGGCATGTGGAAAGCCAGTTTTTGCAGCACCATTTATTAAAGAGGCTATTTTTCTTCCATTGAAGGTGTTTGGTCCTTTGTCAAATATAAGGTGGCTGAGTATGTCTGCAGTTGTTTCTGCATCTTCCAGTGTGTTCCGTTGATCCTCATGTCTGGTTCCCTGCTGCCCCCATACCATGCTGTTTTAATCACAGTAGCTTTGTAGAATAATTTCAAGTCAAGGGGTTGTGATGCTCCCTGCCTTGCCTTTGTTGCCCAGAATTGCTTTCGCTGTTCCTAGGTCTCTTCTGGTTCCACATGAATTTTAAGATTGTTTTCTCTAATTCTATGAGACATGCTATTGGTATTTTGATTGAGATTGTATTAAATCTATATAACAATTTGAAAGTATGGCCATTTTCATGATAATTGGTTTTCATGCCCAAGAACAAGGGCATCTTTCCATCTTCTGTAATCCTCTTCAATCTCCTTTTTCAGCCTAATGTAATTTACAATGTAGAGTTCTTTTACTTTGTCAGAAAGCTGTTGATTTTTGAATGTTGATTTTTGTCTCCAGCTATGCCATTGAATTTGGTTATTAAATCTAGAAATCTTTTGGTGGAGCTTTTGGGGCTGTTCTTTTGTAGAGTATCAGGTGATCCATAAATAATGATAATTTAACTTTTTCCTATCCTTATTAACCCCCTCTCTACACATACACACTGGGGATCAAACTCTGCATCCTCCTATTCCTTTTATTTTTATCTCTTGTCTAATTGCTCTGGCTCATGTTTCAAGAACTATATTTAATAAGAATGGTGATAGTGGACATCCTTGTCTTGTTTCTGATTTTATAGTGAAAGTTTTCAGTTTTTGTCCATTTGGTATGATGTTGGCTGTTGGTTTGTCATAGATTACTTTTGTCAGATTGAGATAAATACCATCAAGTTCAATATCTGTAGGGTTTTTATCATGAATGGGTGTTGGAATTTGTCAAACGCCTTTTCTGCATCTATTGGGAAAGTCATGTATGGTTTTTGTTCTTGGCTCTGTTAATATGATGTATTACATTTATTGATTTGTGTATGTTGAACCACCCCAGCATTCCTGAGATGAATCCTGCTTGGTCATGGTGTTAATCCTTCTTGGTAATTTGTTGCATTCTGTTTGTCAGTATCTTATTGAGGATTTTTGCATCTATGTTCATTAGGGAGATTGGCCTATAATTCTCTTTTCTGGTTGGCTCCTTTGGCTTTGGCATCAGGTTGATGCTTGTTTCAAGGAATGAATTTGAGAGTATTGCTTCCCTTGGCATTTCATTAAAGAGTTTGAAAAATAGTGGCATTAGGTCTTCTCTAAATTTCTTGTAGAATTCAGCAGTGAATTTGTCAAGACCTGGGCTTTTTTTGTTGGTAGGTTTTTAATTGCATCTTTAATTTCTTTGGCTGATATTAGTTTAGAAATTTTTTATATCTTAATTTAATTTTGGTAATTCATATGTATTTAGGAATTTGTCTATTTTTTCTGTTTTCCATTTTAGTAGAATACAGGTTCTCAAAGTAGGTATTGATCTTCTGACCTTTTGCAGAATGTGTTATGATTTTACCTTTTTCATTCTTTTTTTTTTTTTTTTTTTTTTTTTTTTTTTTTTTGGTACTGGCGATTGAACTCAGGTCCTTGTGTTTGCAAGGCAGGCCACCGAACCGCTGAGCTAAATCCCCGGCCCCTTTTTCATTCTTTTTTTTTTCTGGTTTTTTGAGACAGAGTCTCACTATGTAGTTGAGACTGACTTGGAACTCACAATGTAGCCCAGGCTAGTCTCGAACTCACAGTGATCCTTCTGCTTCAGCCTCCCGAGTGCTGGGATTACAGGCATGCGCCCCCACACCTGGCCCTTTTTCATTCTTAATTGCATGAATTTGCCTCTCCCCCCCCCCTGCCCCCTGAACTTGCAAGGTTGGCTACTAAACCCCTGAGCTCAATCCCCGGTCCCGAGTCTTTCCTTTTTGTGATAAGGTTGGATAAGGATTTGTCAATTTCATTTAATCTTTCAAAGAACCAACTCTAAGATTTATTGCTTCGGTGTATTGTTTTCTTAGCTTCCATTGCGTTAATTTATATTCTTATCTTTATAATTTCATCCCTTGTATGAACTTTTTGACTTGTTCTTCCTCTTGTAAAAGTTTGAGTTTGCAGCATTAGGTTGTGAACCCATTCTGTTTTCCTAATATGGGTATTCAATGCTATAAACTTCCCTTGTAGGACTGCTACATTGTGTCCCATTGGTTGTTCAGGAGGGTGTTGTTTAATTTCCATGTGTTTACGAAGTTCTTGTGGTTTCTTTTGCTATTGATCTCCAATTTCATTGCACTATGGTCTCACAATATGCAGGATATCCCTTCAATTCAGTTCATTCTGTTGGGGTTCATGAAGTTGTGATCCTTGTTATCTTCTTTTTTTTTTAATTGAATTTATTGGTACATTTTAGGTAGACAGTACAGTTACATTCATTACTGGGATCTTGTACGTTTACATGCCAGACCTTGGTTCTTCTTTTTCCCTATTTTCTCATATTTTTTTCCTTTTCCCTTGTTCCCCTTTCCCTATCCTTCTCACTGTCCCTACACCTTTGGTCCTTTTCTTCCTATTCTTGTTATCTTTTTCTGGAAGATCCTTTGAGCACTCTGGAGTGCTGATTTTGTGTTTAAGAATTTTTTTGGGTGTTCTTTGTCCTGGAAGTAAATATCTTATTTCTCTGTCAATTTTGAAAGATAGTTTTTCAGGGTACATCTATCTGGGTTGAAGGTTATTTTCCTCTAGGGCTTGAAATACTTCAAGCTGTCCTTGACTTGAGGGTTTGTGTTCAGAGTTCTGCTGTGATTCTGATGAGCTCTTCTTTTCTTCTTTTTTTTTTTTTGTTTTCTTTTTTGAGACAGAGTCTCACTATGTATTTGAGACTGACCTGGAACTCACTATGTGGCCCAGGCTAGTCTCCGAACTCACAGCAATCCTCCTGCCTCAGCCTCCCGAGTGCTGGGATGTGCGCCATCACACCTGGCTTCTGACAGCTCTTCTTTATAGGTGATTTGTTTCTTTTCCATAACAGCTTTTAATATTGTCCTTATGTTGAATTTATGGAATCTTGATCATTATATGCCTTGGGGAAGCTTTTTTTAATTATTATTATCATGGCTAATTGGAGTTCTGTATACCTTGCTTATCTGTATGTCAAATTCTTTTTCCCTGTTTGAGAATTTTCTGCCATTACTTCTGTGAATAGGTTGTCATTTGTCCTATCTCCTGCTTTTTCATTAACTCTGATTAATCTCATGTTTACTCTTTTTTTTGCATCAGCTAGCATATGCTAGATTGATTTCTCATGTTCCCTTTCTGTTTTTCAGAAATCTTGCTTTTCATCATTGTGAGCTACAATCCTGTCTTCTATATCTGATATTCTGTCCTCTCATTCTATTGCATATACTTTCAATGGAATTTTTAATCTTTTGGATATCTGTTTAAATCTCTTTTATGGATTCTGTTTGCTATGCTGGGTGTTCATGGTTTCCATCATTTTCTTGAGTTCCTCTACTTTTTTTTTTTTTAAATCTGTGTCTGCTTTAGAGTGACTAAGCATGTCTTTCATTCTGGTCACCATCTCTGCATAGTTATCTGAAATTATTTCTGCTTTAAATTTTTCTAGAGCCTCGTTCACTTCCTTTGTTACTTGCACTGTTACTATTTTAGAGAGTCCAGGTAGGTGGCTTTCAGACTGTTCTACCTCTTTGCCTCATGGGTCTGCCTTCTGTGAGCTGAAAGTCAGGTTGCATCTTTTTAAATGTCTTCTCATTTTTTTTTAATTTCCTGGATGGATGCTTGTAGGTTACTTATGGCAAATAGCTTTATTGCCAGTTTTCAGAACCCTGAGAAAATGATTATTTTTTAGGGTGTCTTCTAGGTGTATAGCTAGCTGGGTTTTGGGTTTTGAGTCTGTTGCAAGATCCTACCTCTTCGGTTTGTTGGGGCTGAGAAGTTGCTGCTTCCTTGGCCCATTGCCCAGTTTTTTTTGGCACTGGCCTATAGTATATTTTAAGACCCTTAGGCAGTCTCAGTCTTTGTATACCAGGAAGAACAACTGGTAAGCACAATTATGTTACCTTGGCTAAAATAGTACAATCAACAATAACAATAGCATCAAACATAGCCTAGAAAATGACAAACTGTAACTATAGTAACTATTATTTTGCTACCTTTAACCATCTGAGCTAGATTTGTGGTTATAAAACAAAAGCTAGAACATACTACAAAAGTGTATGCAGTAGATAAGCCATCAATCAGTATTACAATTTTACCCTAAGGGGAGGAGATTTAGAAAGGGTTGGGGGGAAAATAGACAAATAGAGGGAAAGTTTAGAAGCAGGGCTGGAGGACAAAGGTAGATCGTAAAAACCTTGGGAAATCAGTGAAGAAGCCAGGAAGGAGAGAATGAAGAAATAAAAACAGCAACAGAACAACCACAACAAAAAAACTAGAAACCATGTTCAGTCATGTAAAAACAAGAACAAACAAGAAAAAAGTAAAACAGAACAAGAAGAAAAATGAGAAAAGAGGAAAGAAAAGAAAATAAAGAAAATAAGGAAACAAAACCAAAAGTCCAAGTCAAGGTGTGTCTCTACTGTCACTGGTAGACAATGTGGGCAGAGTCCAGACCTGAGTTGTTTAATACCAGCAAGCCGGCCATTGATTTATTGTGGGTTAATAGATCATTCCAGCAAGCCTAGACCTTTAGTTTTCATTGAAGTTCAGGCTGGTTTCTGACTATGAGGCTGCGACCAGATTTGTTGAGGTCATAGTCTATGTGCCTTCTGCTGGCTTGAACTCTGCTCCCTAACCTCCTGCCAGTGTGAACTCAGCACCCTCACCATGACACTGGGCACCACAAGGTGGAACCAGCCTGTAGCTATTCTGAGTTCTGAGTTCAAGTGGCCCTTCTCCAAGATGGTTACCAGCCAGTTGCCCTCTCCTGGTTGAGGTCTGAACCAGAATAATGCAGCAGCCTCTGCAGTCCACTTAGTCTAATGCTCCATTCCACTGGTGCCTTTCTCTGTGTAAGCCTCTAGGGTTACTAGTAACCACCATTTGTCTGCAGGTTTGACCTGCCCTTCCCATGCTGTGAGTCCAGACTCTGGGGCAAAGCACTGCTGCCACCTCCCTCTTTGTCATTGAAGTCTCTTTTGGCTCTCCTTATGGACTTCATTTCTTACGTTAGTTTCTTCCTGGGTCCCAGGGACCCACTTCCTTCCTTCTTAGCCTCCTCATGCTCCTATATTGTAATGTCAGGACACCAAATCTTGGAGATGTTCTTAGTCTGCTGCTTATCATTCTGCCATCTTTCTGGAAGTCTCCTGTGAATTTTGCAAGCTATTTTACCATTCAACTTTTGTATCACTTTTTATTTTTCCTGTTTTCTGAACTTAAACTTTGGCTTGGCTTTTAGGGCCCCCCCCCCATCTCTCCTTGCTTTAATTGGTGTCTGGTAAGGTTATGTACAAAAGTTTTAAAGTCGATTTTTCTGTTTTTTCCTCCTTAGTCAGAGGGGAAGAGAATGGAATTGATTGTAATCAAGAGGACAAAACTTCAGACCGGGGCAAGCGAGCACGTGTTCGAGGTAAGCCAAAATGATGGGGAAGGAAATATTTGGCATGTAGGGGAAGAAGGCCCTTCTTGTGGGGGGCGCTAAGTAGAGTGGGCAGAGTACTTTGAAAGAATGGCTGGTCTTTGGCAGTCATATAATTCATTTATTGATTTACTGATTCCTGAGAATGAACTGTTTGAATTTGGTATTGGGAATTGAATGCAGGGAATTGCGATTGCTGGGCAGGTGTGTGTCCTACTGAGCTACATCCCTGGCCCTGGATTATGCAGTTGTGAATAAGTTTATTAGTTGTTTTCAGATGAATGGGGAAAGATTTTCTTTTTTCTTTTTTTTCCTTGAGGAGGTAGGGTCTTGCAATGTAGTCCATGGGCTCACTATGCTGACAATCTTCCTTTTCAGCTTCCTGAGTGCTGTGATCACAGTTGTGTGCCAACATGCCTTGCTGAGAAAGCTCTTTTATGAATAATTTAGAATTTGTTTTATTTTGTTTTTTGTTTTTTTTGGTATCAGGGATCAAACTCAGGACCTTGTGCTTGCAAGGCAGGCAGCAGAACCACTGAGCTAAATCCCTGGCTAAAATTTGAAATTTTGATCTAAAGTTTTGCTGAGCGTGGTGGTGCATGCCTGTAATTATGACACTTAAGAGACTGAGGCAGGAGGGTCATCACAAGTTGGAGGCCAAGCTGTGCTACATAGTGAATTTGAAGCAAGCCTGACCTGCATAGTGAGACCCTGTCCCAAAAGACATAAAACAAAAAAATAAAGTTATGTTTTAACTTTTTTTTTTGGTACCAGGGATCGAACTTGGGTCCTTGCGCTTGTGAGGCAGGCAGCGGAACCACTGAGCTAAATCCCTGGCCCTCATGTCTTATCTTTTGTGATACTGCTTTTCATCTCTGCCTCCTCCAGTACTGGGGATTGAACTCAGGGGCATTCTGCCACTGAGCTAAATACTCTGATATGAAGGGTCTTGCTAAATTGCCCAGAATGGCTTTGAGCTTTTGTTCCTTTTCCTTAGGCTGCTGAGTTGCAGCGATTACAAGAGTGTGCCATGGCATCTGGCATTATTGCTTTTTCCCCCGCTAAAGTTTTGTTAACTGGTCTTTCCCCTCCATACTAGAGATTGAACCCAGAGAGTACAGAGGTACATGTCCAGTGCTTTATTTTGAGACACAGGGTATTGCTAAATTGCCCAGTATTAACCTTGTGAGCCTCCGGCCTCACCTCAGCCTACGAAGTAGTTGGGATTATATATAGATTTAGATAACTATTCCTCACCCCCTTTTTTTTAAAACAGGAAAAAGAAATTACCCAGTTTATTCCATGTGTAAGACATAGTCCTTTTTTTTGTTTTTTGTTTTTTGAGACAGGGTCTCACTATGTAGTTCACTGTAGCTCAGGAACTCCGAACTCATAGCAATCCCAGTCTCAGCCTCCTGAGTGCTGGGATTACAGGCGTGTGCCACCACTCCCCACTGACAGCCATCTTTAGATGACTGGCCATCTACTCATCTTTGTCTGGGCCAGTTGTCAGACCTTGTAATTTCTTTCTGGAAGGTGATTTGTGTTTAACATTCATACCTAGGAGTTATCCAAATCTGAACCAGAGAGGCAGAGCACAGGTTCCTCGTTACTGAGTGCAAACCTCTAAGGGCCAGGACTCTGGTTGACAAATTGGTGGGCTTGATTTTTTTTATCCATTATTGGGGGTTAATCCTAGGGCCTTTACACTGACTTACATCTTCAAATGCTCCTCCCCTGCTTTTTAAAATTTTGAGATAGGGTGTTACTAATGTGCTAAACTGCCCACGCTTGAATTTGTGATCTTTCTGCATTAGCCTTCTGAAGTGTGGGGATTATAAGCCTATATTACCATGTATAGCTGACAGGTTAGATTTTTTTTTGGAGACAGGTTCCTCCTATGTAGTTCAGGCTGGCTTTGAACTCACTGTGTAGCTCAGGCTTACTTCAAACTTGCAGCAATCCTCCTGCTTCAATTTTCTGAGTGCTGGGATTACAGGTATATGCCACCAAGCCCAGCAGGCTTGATTTTTTTTTTTTTTTTTTTTTTTGGTACTGGGGATCGAACTCAGGACCTTGTGCTTGCCAGGCAGGCACGCAGCCACTGAACTACATCTCCAGCCCAGGCCAGATTGTTAAGGAGGATCTGAGAGTCTTTCCTTTTTTAATGTACTGGGAATTGAACCCAGGACTTCTACATTGAACTACATCCCCAGTCCCTTTTGTATTTTGGGACAGGTCTTACTAAATTTCCTAGACTGGGTTCAAATCTTCTTGCCTCAGCCTCCTGAAGTACTGGGAATACAGGAGTACACCACCATATCTGGCTTGATCTGAGAGTACAGGGGGACTTTTGACGTTTTAGACGGGGAAACTGAAGGCATTCTCTTGTTTTCTCTCCTTCCAAAGGAGTCTGAATTTTGCTGTATTGTGAAACAAGTTTTTGTTTTTTTTGTTTTTTTTTTTAGTTTGTTGGTGCTGAGAATTGAACCGAGAGCTATGCTAATGTTAGGCAGGTGCTCTAACACAGAGCTATAGTTACAGCCTTCGTATAATTTTTTAAATCATAAATTAATTCTGAAGGAATATTTTTTTAGCATTCATTTTTAGACTGTATAATATCTGTTCGTGTAATTTTCTGCTTTGTGAATTGGAACAGATAGTATACATTCAGAAACAATCATTTGAACTATCTAGGTAATTATATGGGCACTTTGTTTTCATAGTCAGAATGTATTATAGTACTTTTATATAAAAACAGGGAAACCAAACTACCTGGCGTTTTATATTTTGTTTTTGTTTTTTTGGTTCTTTGAGAGTGGCTTGAACTTACCATGTAGTCCAGACCGGCCTCAAAAACATGGCAGTCCTCGTGCCTCAGCCTCCCAAGTGCTGAGATTACAGGCATGTGCCAGTACTCCTGGCTTGTTCTGTTATGTGAGTGTGCATGTGTGCATGCGGGTGTGTATGTGTGTGTTTGCAAAATTTCGGAACTGAACCCAGGGCATTCACAGTAAGATTATCCTCAGTCTCTTCTCCCTTAAAGTTTTTTTTGTCTTTTTAAATTTTTCTTTAAATTTTTGAGATAGGGTCTCACTAAGTCACTAATTTCCCATGCTGGACTTGAACTTGCAATCCTCCTCCTTCAGCTTTCCAGGGTGTTGGGATTCCACTTATGTCTTACCTGCTCATCTTGCTATTTGCTTTTGTGTTTGGTCACTTGGCTTATTAGATAGTAAGTCTGTTTCAGAAGTGTGGAGGACCAGATTCAAATGAAAACCACTAGGAAAGTCATTCTTATCTAAAATATATTGCTCATAAGATTATTTGTTACTGGGGTTTTTGGCCTGGAGTTGATATTAAGTTTTGCAAAACATTTAGGTTAAGATGCAGTTATTAGAACATCAGGTTAATATGCTGTCAGCAAGTTATTTGATAGCTTGTCTTTGGTGACAGGTGACCTTCTAAGCTTTTCTAGGATTTTCCTGAAGTGTATGGGTCTAGGATTATAAAATCTGCAAGAGTATGGCTATATTAGGGTTCACTGCTCATATTACGGTCACGGGAAACAAGAGCCTACATTGGGGTTCTTTTTTTTTTTTTGGTACTGGGAATTGAACTCAGGGCCTTGAACTTGTGAGGCAGGTGGTGGTACCACTGAGCTAAATCCATGGCCCAGGATTCTTTCAACCAGTATTCTAAGGAGCAAGAAATAGCAATCCCCCTCCCCCGCAAGGTACTGGGGATTGAACCCGGGTCTTACGCATGCTAGGCAAGTGCTCCTCCAGTCTTTCAAAAATTTTTTTATCACATAAGCCTGCCTTTCTTTTTTTCTTCCTAGATATATCTTTTCCTTAAAGTATATACATGTATAATATTTTTTAAAAGTCTTGGTATATTTAGCAGCCCCAAGATAAATCTAAAATTTAGTGACGCTCACTACTTTTATTTGCTGTTTTATTTAACTTTGAATCTGCTTTATGAAGAAAACGATTAATACATTTTTCATATGGAATTCATAGCCTAACACTTATTTGTTTCTGTGGTATAGCAGAATGTGTTTATGAATTGGAAATGACATTCTCAGTATGAATATTAGATTATGTGATACTTAATTTTTTCACATACTTTTTTTTAGTGCATATAGGTTATACGGATTAATGGATTTCATTTTTGCAGATTTGTACATGCACATACATACTTTGATCATTTCCATACACATGCCCCCCCTTATTCTCCCTGCCCTTGCATCCTCCTCAGTTTTACATATTTGGGCATTGCAGTTTTGAAAATAACATCCAACTCCCTGTTACCTGTTTTTATGTTCCCCTCCCCCACATTCCCTACCTCTTGTCTGATAATAGTCTCCTTTCAACTTTGGCATCTTTTTTAGAATCCATATATTAAGGAGAACATGTGATTGTCTTTTTGTGTCTGACTTAATTTGAATAACATTTTGATCTCCAGATTCATCCATTTTCCTGCAAAATTTCATTCTTTATGGTTAAATAATACTCCATTGCGTGTATATATATATATATATATATATATACACACACCATATTTTCTTTATCCATTCATCTACTGGTGGCCACAAAAGCTTGTTCCTTAATTTTGATTGATTGATTGATTGATACAGAGGATTGAACTTTGGACCTTGTGCTTGAAAGGCAGATGTGGCATCACTGAGCTAAATCCTGGCTTGTTCCTTAGTTTTGTTTGTTTGTTTTGTTTTCCTTAGTTTTTTATTTGTTTGTTTTTGGTACTGGGGATCCAACTGGGGACCTTGCACTTGTGAGGCAGGCAGCGGAACCACTGAGCTAAATCCCCAGCCCTTGTTCCTTAGTTTTTTGAGGAAGCTCCACACTGTTTTCCATAGTGGCTGTACTAATTTACATTTCCACCAACAGTGTAAAAGGGACCGTCTTCTTTTTTACCATTATTTATTTATCTTCAGCCAGCCATCCTGCCTGGCTGCCTTCCTGGCTGCCTGCCTGCCTGCCTGCCTGCCTGCCTGCCTGCCTTCCTTCCTTCCTTCCTTCCTTCCTTCCATAGAACTAGGGGTCAAACTCAGGACCATGTGCTTGCCAGGCAGGTGTGCGTGGTACTGAGCTACACCTCTGACCCTATCTTCAGTATTCGTGATGATAGCTATTCTGGCTATATCCCTAGCTCCTACTTTTAATTTTTGAATTCTGTGCAGTATCTTACTGAGTCCCGGTACCCCATTAGCATTTGACAGAATATACTGTTCTAAAATAAAATCAGTATCTGAATAACTAGGTTATTTCTCTCTCTCTCTTTTTTTTTTTTTTTTTTTTTTTTTTTTTTTACAACATTCACTATTGTTGTTGAGACTGACCTGGAACTATGCAGCCCAGGCTGATCTCGAACTCACAGCGATCCTCCTGCCTCAGCCTCCCAAGTGCTGGGATTATAGGTGTGCACCACCATGCCCGGCAACCTAGGTTATTTCTTAAAATTATACAGTGAAATTATTGTACCTTTAAATATTTGAATTTAATTTATGCAAAAAATACATGTTTATAAAAGTGGGGTTACATATCAGTCTTAAATCCAACAAGTAAGATTTACATATTTATTTTGTTGAGGAGCAATATTCATTTTAGAAATATGGGCCAGTGATTTAATTCAGTGGCACTGTGCCTCCCTGGCAAGTGCAAGGTCCTGAGTTTGATCCCAAGTAAGGGGGTGTGGGGAATAATGGATTATGTGATCAGGTGTCATTAGTGTCTTTTATTTTTTTAAGACATGAATCGGCATTTATCTTCAAATGTTTCTTAAAACAACAGAATAGACAATTTGGGGAGTTATTTGAACTTGTCCCTGCTTCTTATTTATCTTCTATTTTGCCCTTTATTTGTATATAAATATATGTATATTTTGAGTTTCTCATATAAGAGAAATCATGTGGTAGTTAAGCTTTTGTGACTGATTTATTTCTCTCAACAGTGTATTCTCAAGTTGCATTCGTTAGCCTGCACATTCCTCAAGTTTATTAAATGGCATGGAGAAGCTGAGGAAGGAGAAAGCAAACAAAAAACAGGCAGGAGAATTCTGTGTTAAAGGAAGAGTTAGTGCGCAGGGCCTAAGATAGGAAGGAATTTAATTTTTTTTCACAAAATAAAAACTTAGGAAATATGGTCAGAAATGCTTTGCAGTATGGTTTTATATATTATTTTGAAATAAAAATTACTGTTGTTCATTCCATTCGCCTAGATTGCCCAGGTTTTAATATTTTATTATATTCACTTTACCATTTTTTCCCTGAAAATTTTTAGTGTAAATTACAGACCTAATAACATTTATCCCAATTTCAGAGTGTGTATCCTTTGAAAAAAAGGTATTCTAAGACAGGAGTGGTACCACACATTTGGTACTAGCACTTGGGAGAGTGAGGCAGGAAGATCACCGTGATTTTGAGGTCACCCTGGACTACATAGTGAATTCAAGGCCATCCTGAACTATATAGCAAGACCCTGTCTCAAAACGCTCCCCACCCCCACATGCCAAAAAAGATTCTATTATAGAACTATATTATAATGATAAAATCAGGAAAATACTACATTTTTTGTTCTTTCTGGCAAAAAAGAAAATGTCTGTTACCAGATCTTATCTAGGACTGCACACTGCATTTAGTTGCCATGTTTATTTAGTCTATGGTCTGTCAGTTCAGCAGTGACTTGTCTATTTTTCATGGCTTTGAGAGTTTTCAAAAGTATGGCATATTTATTTTATAGAATGTTCTTCCATATCAGAGATCCTTCCTTACAGTTGGATTCAGGTTGTGTTTTGGCAGGTATGTCACAAAGTGCTGGTAACTGTTCTCCATACATCATATCAGAAGGCATTAATACAAGTTTGTCTCATGCATTACTGGTAATAGTAACTTTGATTACTATGTTATAGAATGTGGTTTCTGCCCTGTTTCTCTTTTGCAAACTTAATACTTTTCCCTTCCACCTTTATAATAAAAGCACTTTTTTTTTAAAAGTCAGAATTGGTTTGATCCCTGGTACCAAAAAAAAAAAAGTTTAAATTTGTTTTTAACTATATATAAAAACATAAAATTAATATGTATTAATTGGGTAATAATGGTTTTTATAATTATATATTATCATATTGAAGTGCAGACATTTATCATTTCTGTATGGTAAAAACTTTGAAAATCTTTTCTTCTAAGTTTTCATAGTAATGTATATATAATTCATTATTGTTTATAGTTACCCTGCTAGACTTTTTGTTTTTTTGGGGGGCTGGGATTGTTTGTTGGGCTTTTTCTGGTTTTTGAGACAGCATCTCTCTGTGTAGTCCAGGCTGGCCTCAAACTCATGGTGATCCTCCCGCCTCAGCCTTCTGAATGCTAGGATTACAGGCATGTGCCACTATGCCAGGTATAGACCTTTTTTGAAACCAGATTTTCATTCACTATATTTGAATCTTTAATTTTTTTGTGAAATAACTACAGTGGCACATTTATCACCAGACCTCTTTCCTAAAGAGAAGCTAATATAGGGGATATAAGAATAGTTTCTAAATTTTATTTTTAAAATATTTAGTACATTTTTGTAGTATATAATGACTACATTCATCATGTGGAGCTGACACATGTACGTCTTAATTTTTATTACTAAATCCCTGAGATATTTTGTTGTTATCATTAGATTTATTTAGGCTTCTTTGAATTTGGAGACCTTCCTTTTCCTGTAGCCCAGGGACATAGAGACATAGCTTGTTTGCCTGACTCCTTGAGCCACACCAGCCCCATAGATGGCTCTGCTATTATACATGACCTGGGCAGATCTCTGGGCATGGGGAGAACATCTGTATATCACTGAACCAGCTCTCAAAATTTAGGGAATTTCCACTGGATGTGGTGGCTGTCTGTAATCCAGCACTTGGGAGGCTGGGGTAGGAGAATCACTGTGAGTTCGAGGCCAGCCTGGGCTACATAGTGAGTTCGAGGCCAGCCTGAATCATAGTGAAACCCTGTCTCAGAAAACCGGAAGGAAGGAAAGAAAGAAAGAAAAAGAAAAGGGCTGGGGATTTAGCTCAGTGGTTCTGTTGCCTGCCTTGCAAGCACAAGGACCCGAGTTTGATCCCTGGTACCAAAAAAAGAAATAAATAAAATAAAATAAAATAATTCATCAATATAAAAAAACTTCAGAACTAGTCAGTGCCTTTGAATATTCATGTTACAACCTGCAGTGTGTACATAGTTTCTGGCACAACTGGCTGTTAAAAAAACCTTTTCTCTCTTCCTCTTAGGGATGAGGGGAAAGGATTGCTTTTTACATTCTTAGATTAAACTCACTGAGCCTATTTGATTCTCTTTAGATTGCACGTTTTTGGGGTCAAGGAAATGTCTACAGTTAGGATCTGCCTCACTGTGGATAGTTGGTTGTCTTTTGAGTTTTAGGCTTTTTTTTTTAAGGGTAGTAAGCAACTTTTGCATTCTGGCTTTCATTAATTCTACCTTAAATTTTTTCAGGAACCACAAACATCGATTTCCTCTTCTTTTTCTTCTCTCTGTACTCCTCTTTCCCTCCTGAAGTTAATAACAGGGTAGGTAGGTATGTCAGCAAAGGACCTGCAAATTCTATTACCTGATTATAAGTGCTGGTGCTATTAAAAATAATCATGATGCTGTTTATGTGGTGAGTGTAGGATGAAGGGCTAGTATTGTGTAGAACATATGTAGTAGTATATACTATAATTTTTGTTTTTTTAAAAGGATTTGGACGAGGCAGAGGAAGAGGAGCAGGAAGATTCTCAGCCCAAAGCATGGGGTAAGTCACAGCCATCATGTTTTCATAATTATTTCCTTCTCTATATTTCACTTACTTTGTTATAGCTTTCCTTCCTCTGTCCTGTCCCCGGTTTATTTATCTTGATGAATTAAGATTTTTTAATACTTGAAGAGTTTTACTAACAAGTGAGAGTAGTACGAATAAAATTGATTTTTTGGTAGGCATTAGAGCATGGATTCTAGCCTTGGCACTATTTACATTCTGGGTTGGATAAATATATTGCGGTGGTGGTTGTTCTGTACATTGTAGGATATTTAGCAACAACCCTCTCCTCTCCTTACTAGATGCCAGTTGTACTCCTCCTGATGTGACAATCAAAATGTCTACAGACATTGCTACATGTTCCTGGGGTGTGGAGTGTGTATGTGTGTGTGCACACACATGCTTGTGTGCATAATTTTTTACACCTAGTTGAAAGCCACTGCATAAAAGCTGGTAAATCCAACATTTGTCTTTGAATGTTAAGTACTTACAATGCTTATTCATGTAAAAGTGATACTTTTGTTCTGAAATATAATAGTAAAGAATGCGTAAATTAAATATGTGCTATAATTAATGGTTTATTTTTTCTGTTGGTTTCTGTTCCCTCTTGCTGCTTCTAAAACTTTAGCTCCTGGTGAATTCTTGGGAAAAAATTGTTTGTGTTTTGTTGTTGTTGTTGTTGTTGTTGTTGTTTTTGGTACTGGGAAATGAACTCCAGGACTTTGTGCTTGTGACGCATGTGGTTGAACCACTGAGCTAAATCTCAGCCAGGTGGCGCACTGTAATCCCAGCACTTGGGAGGTTGAGGCAGGAGGATCGCTGTGAATTAGAGATCAGCCTGGGCTGCATAGTGAGTTCCAGGTCAGTCTCAATGACATAGTGAGACCCTGTCTGAACCCCTCGCCCCCAAAAAATCTTATGGCCTGGTGTGGTGTACACACATGCAATTCCAGCAACTCAGGAGGCGGGGGTGGAAGGAATGCAATTCTGAGCCTAGCCTGGGCAACTGTCTCAAAATAGAAATTTAAAAAGGGCAGGGCCAGGGTTTTAGCTCAGTGAACTGTGCCTACCTTACAAATGCAAGGTCCTGAGTTCCGTCCCTGGTACCAAAAAAAAAAAAAGAAAGAAAGAAATTAAAAAGGGCACCCCTGAGTTTGTTCTCTACTTCTGCCTTAAAACAACAACAATAAAGATCTTGCAGAAGCTCAATGCTGAAGGAAGGAAATTAGTGCCACAAAGAACCCTTTGTCTCCATAGCCTTTAGGGAAACACTCTTGGAAGCAGTGCATTTTAGAGGTGTCACCTGCCATTTCTGTTTTTCACCTGAGCTCTCTGAGGAAAAAGAAGGAATGAAAATACAGGGAGAAACCTCAGAAGATAGTCAAATTTCTTGGTACCGGGGATTGAACTTGGGTCCTTGTGCTTGCAAGGCAGGCCACCGAACCGCTGAGCTAAATCCCTGGCCCAAGATAGTCAAATTTCTTGGTACCGGGGATTGAACTTGGGTCCTTGTGCTTGCAAGGCAGGCCACCGAACCGCTGAGCTAAATCCCTGGCCCAAGATAGTCAAATTTCTAAGGTTAATACTGATAAACTATTTTGTAGATTTTTCAGTTTACTTTGTATTTTGTGAAGAGTTTAGTTGGTATCTAGCCCATGTGAGAGACCTTTGCATCATGATTTCTTATGAGTATTCAGTTTAGGGTTTTAATGAAAGTGAAGATGGATAGCTGGATATGGTGGCATGCTGAGGTAGGTGGATTGCTGTGAGTTCAAGGCCAGCCTGAACTACAAAGCGAGTCTAACAAAATTTAAAAGTGGGTTATGTTAGTCACTCCCGTTGTTGGGGCAGAATACCCAGCACTCTCAAAAGAGAGTTATTCTGACTCATGATTTCAGTGGATTCAGTCATAGTTGGCTGACTCCAAGGCAAAAATGGCACGGTGGAGGGGCACATTGGAAGGGAATGATGGAAGAAAGCTGTTCAATCCATGGCAGCCAGGAAGCTGGCATCAAAGGGAGAAGCGAGGGACAAGAATATACCATTCCAGGTCATACCCCCAGTAACCCACCCTCTTTGTTGCAGGCCCTTCCTCATAACAGCACCTTGAGCTATGGACTCATCAGTGGATTAATCCGCTAATGAGTATAGCAACTCATGAGCCAATCACTTTTCAAAAGCCCTACACCCCTGAACAAGAGACTGTGGAGATGTTTTTCATTTATGTTGTAATAGGTGAACAAAATATCTTGTCATCTATATCAATTTTTTGTATATATAAAGGATGTAATTCTGTTACCAATTTTTTTTTTTTTTTTTTTTTTTTTTGGAGACAAGGTCTTGCTATGTAGTTCAGGCTGGCCTGGAACTCACTGTGTAGCCAAGACTACCCTCAAACTTGGAGTGATCCTCCTGCCTTGAATCTTGGATTCTGACTTGGGAAGAAGACTTGTTTACTAGTGATGCCTTAGTGTTCAGTGGAACTTTCCATTAGTGCCCTATTTTGCTTTGAAAAGACTTCAGGCTCCCAGGACTACCATAGGCTGCAGAGGACCACGTTGTAATGAAAATAAGGACATCAAAGCAATGAACTAATAGAAGGAAGGGCAAAGCCTTTTACAATAGTTGTTAGAGGGAGTAGGCTTGTTTGGTGGGGATGATCATGTTCAGTTATTATGGCTGGCTTCATTTGCTTTTATTCTTTCTATATTTCAAACTCTAGGACATTCAATCCTGCAGACTATTCAGATTCTACATCTGCAGATGGGTGTGGGACAAAAGTAGTAGTTTGGGAACCTGCTCAGAATGGTGCAAGTGAAGGATCTGGTAAGTATTATGTTTTTCTCTGAAAGGGATTCCTTCCTTCCTTCCTTCCTTCCTTCCTTCCTTCCTTCCTTCCTTCCTTCCTTCCTTCCTTCCTTCCTTCCTTTTTGGGGTGATGGTGGTACTGGGGGTCAAACTCAGGACCTTGTGCTTGCCAGGCAGGCTCTGGCACCACTGACCTAAGTCCCCAGCCCTTTCCCTTGTTTCCTCCCTCTCTTCCCCCTCTCCCTTCCCTTCTTCCATCCTGAGGTTCAAACCCAGGGCCTTGGGCATTCTAGGTAAATTGGTCTACCACAGAGCTAGCTATACCACCAGTCCAGAGATGGGTTTTACATATTTGAGATATTAGGAATCTTATGTTATTATGCAAATATAAAGCCTAAGTGTGCTGACGGACACCGCTCATACTACTCTTAGTTGGTTCTTACCTTCAAAGTCTCTCGCTTAAACTAACTTCTTTGATAGCTGGGTATGCTCGGTGGCACACGCCTATAATTCCTACACTTGGGAGGCTGAGGGAAGAGGATCACCAAGTTGGAGTACAGCTTGGAATCTGTAATTAACCCCCTCCTATCTCATTGATGATGAAAAATTAGACTTTTCCTATCATACTGTGAGAGACTATAATCTGCACAAATCATTACAAAGCCATATTGCTATTGCAGTGTGTCACAGATACAGTACATAGAATTTTTTATAAGATACTTTATTGAAAGGTACTTATCATTGTTACTGGTAGATAGCAAAACTTGTCCAGATAAACATGATAGTATTAGGGCAATATTGCTGCAGATTTTTCTATATCCTGCTGTTACCAGATTATTTTTGGAAATTCATTGATAAATATTTGTTAATATTTAATTACATAGAGCTCTGTAGAGGATGGATTCATGATAATATACATTAAATACCAAGGTTATATTTGTAAAAATATAATGTAGTGCTTAAGTGAAAAATAAGCCAGGTGTGGTAGTGCACACTTATAATCCCATCACTTGGGAGGCTGAAGCTGGAAAATTACTGAGTTCAAGGCCAGCATGGACTCTACATAGTGAGTTCAAGACCAGCCTGAGCTACATAGTAAGACTATCTGAAAAAAAGAAAACAAACAAAAAAATGAAATATAACCCAAAATGTAAAAATATAGCTCAATAAATTATCAAAAAATGAACATCATAGCATAAACTCTGGCCTAAAAGTAAAACACAGCCACTACCACGTACATTCAAGGACCTAGAAATTCACTGTACAGAGGATTAACAAAACTTATATGTAATTATTTGAAAATACTAGTAAAATTGGTGTTTCTTGTGAAACTTATAACTGAAAGTGAAGAAACATAAGTAATTGGTTTTAGGAAGCCCAGTGTGGTACTATATTGCTATAATCCCAGCTTTCTGGGAAACTGAGGCAGGAGACAAATTTGAGTCCAGCCTGGGCAATTTAGTGACTTAATGAGACCCTGTCTCAAAATAAAAATCCTCCCTGCCCCTAGAAAAAAAGCAATAAAGTTTGACAACAAATTTGAAATCAGAGCCTTACCTCACTGTTTTGAAAATTTTAAGATAATAGAAAATAGAATCAAGTAAGATACAAATATTAGAGTACATCATGGCTGTGTTAAATTTATTCTTTTTTAAAACCAGAAATTAAACTCAGGGCTGTATGCTTGGTAGGCTGGTGTGCTGTGTTGCTGAATTACATCCCCAGCCTTATTTGTTTGCTTATTTATTTATTTATTTATTTGTGGTGCCAGGGATCAGACTCATGACCTTGTGCTTGTGGGGATTGAACTTGGGAACTTGTATTTGCGAGGCAGGTGGTGGAGTCACTAAACTAAGTCCTGGCCCTCAGATTTATTCTTTTTTTTTTTTTTTTTTTTTTATTTTACATTTTTTTTTTCTTTTTATTGAGTTTATTGGTACAATCTAGGTATACAATACAATTACATTCATCATTGGGATTCTGTACCTTTACATAATAGGTCTTGATTCTCATTTTTTCCCCTTGTCCCTACCTTCCCTTCACCCCCTCCTCCCCTCCCCATTTACAAACAATTTATTTCCATTTTTTTCAGTTTCTCATATATTTTTTTCCTCTTCCATATTACGTTTCCTCCACCCTTCCCACTTTCCCTACACCTTTAGCCCTTTACTTCCTATTTCACATTATTAATTATCTCATTAGGATCCTGTGTACTGTTATAGTTTTTCACACCAAAGAAACTATTTGGTATTTCAGTTAAAGAAATCTCTGTATGAACATTAAAAATAGGGAATCCTAAAATAAAACTAAAAAGGAAAGTAAAAGAGAAAAGGCAATGATGTAGGATTTAAATAATCCTTAATTCTGGAGATGAAAATGGTCCCTGAACATATTTAAATTGCTTCTTGCTCTTTTAGTCTTATCTTATTCTTTTTTCATTATTTAGAGAATACTTTATTAGTTTCTGTAATCAAACCCAGGTAGATATGACCTTACATATTTAGTATGATGTGTTACCCCTGTACACATGGGGAAAAAAAATAAATAAATAAAAATAAATTAACTTTTCTAGACCAATATGGTTGTCCATTTCTGTACAATGCCAACTCAACACAGTAAATTGGGATGACTTTTTCCAAAGTTGGCAGCACCATTAAAGTTTCCCAAAATTCAATTTATATATATATGTATGTGTGTGTGTGTGTGTGTGTGTGTGTATATATTTTTTTTTTC